AAGTACGTTTGGCTTATCAAGCCTTCTTCTTCTTCATACTCCTCTTCTTCACTAAACGTCGACTTGTCATCGTCACTACTATCATCAATGTTGTCGGCTCTTGTATCTACCTCCTCTTCCTTTGCTTTTCTTTTTTTATCCTTTCGAGAGATTCGATCTCCAATGTTTGCCGGTTTACAATATTCAGTTAGAATCTTTATTTTCTTATCACCGTCTCTTATCATCAACTCACACGATTTCCAGTCCAATCAGGCTCTTGCCTTTTTTATCTAATCATTTTCTACAATTACTACATAGTTTCCAGCATCATTACGACAATACAGGATATTATAGTTTTGCTACCAATAGTTACAGGGAATTTGTCAATTTCTTCTAGTGGTCTTTTCTGCTTACCTTGTACTCCTACTATTATTACTGTAGAAGGTCAGTTTATTGTTATTCTAGAGTCCTTTAAGAACCTGCAGAAACAACACAGCTGAATGATCCACTATCCAAGATCAAAATGATTGGTTGACTATTCATTTGTGCATCGCAATATATTAACATTGTGTAGACTTCATTGTTATGATTAAGGCAAAATTCGGCAAGCTTTCTCTTAGTTACTCTACCTGGGTGCAGAACCTTCAACACCTCTTTTCGCATACTTGAAGCTGCTTGAAAAAGTTGCGTATAGGTAATATCGGCCTTTTTGCTTTGCAGGTCCATCATTATCGAGTACAGTTGTACCTTTGCTATTATGGGGGGCTTAATAGGCTTTGTCACTTTTCTTTTCACGGCCTTTTTCTTATCTTCTTGGTTACTTGTTTGATTATTCGCTTGGATGCTTCTTCAATTATAGTCATTATCATGATTAGCCATAGGTGGAGTTTCTTCCTCAATAGTTTCAACATCATTACTATGCCTCCATTTCACCATGTAGGTCTCCTTTATTATATCAACCGAGGGATTTGTAGATGACTGCATACTCTCACTCTCTAAAGATATGTTTCCTCATTTAAATACTCCTCTGGATCCTGTAATTGAACTAATATTGCTTGTGCTCTGAAAGCTTCCTCAATCAGCCTATTATTATTGATAGGGCTATTGTTTTGATTTTGCATCAGGGATTGTTTTCTACACTATTTCTATAATTAGTATTTGGGCATTCCTGGGCAATGTGTTCTGGTTGATGACAGGAGTAACACATGAGGGTCGATTGATCCTTTCAGGTCAGTTTAAATTCGCAGAAGGGCAGAGTCAGCTATGATTATTGCTATTGTTATTGTTATTCTTCATTGTAGTCACTACCTTCTGTAACATGACCATTATTTGATCCACAGAGTTTGTCGAGACTTGAGTTCAGGTAGGTATTACAGGCTGGGCAGTGTTGTATGATAGCTGGGATGGTAGTACTATAGGTTGGGTCGTAGAGTAAGCTTGTTGGTATGGGTGCTACTATTTGAATCACTGGAAACTTCAAGGGATTATACAGAGTGACGGTTTTATATACAGCAAGCCCTCAGGCAAAAGTTATTTCACACATTCAGACCCTTTCGATTGCTTTCTGAAGGTTGTTCGGCATGAACAGTTCTACTACTAATAACAAATCAGAGTGCAATCCTTGGACAAACATTTGGGCCTTTGTTATCTCAGTGTATTGGTTTTCAACTTGGTATACTCAGTTAAATATTATTAGCATATCTGCAGCTACTGGTCTATCGATTCTCTTACATGTTGCCATCAAGGTAATAGTTTATTATTCCATTGGTTGATTGGAGCCAGAGTACAGAAAGCCTGTCTAAACTGGTGCATGAAACTTTTATATTGGGTTTTTTCATTTTCATTATGTAATCCAATTAGTTTTCCATGATCAAAGACTGTTTCATCGTCGTTATTAACAGTTGCCTTAACAAAATTATCTTTTTCTGCATCTACTCTGTTTCCATGGTAATGTTCAGGATCGTTTGCTTCAGAATTCTGTTCAGGTGAGCCCTCAGATTTCTTATCACCCATTTCATCATCGCTTACTAAACTAACCTTTACATTCTTTCTTTCAATTTTGTCTATTTCTACTTCACCACTCATTTTATTGATTACCTGTTCCTCTTTATTATCTATTTCTCGTCTATTACTATTTG